ATACAAGCAAGGATCAAAATGAAAGATGTAGCGACCTGCTTGTAATCAACAACACAAAATGTTTCAATGAAATATCAAGGAGTTATCATGTCAACTAAAATGCAAAAATCAACAAATAAATTCACTATGTAAGCGACCCTACAAACACATCCATGAAGACTAAAATGAATATGATAGTATGTTCACGGGTAAGATATAACAAGTACAATAGCCTCCATGTAGTCAAACACACTAATCTACCTGCAAGCAACAATGGTGGACATGTTGTAAGTGTGATGGATTCCCTATGAACAGGAAAGTGCACATAACGTATTGTTTACGAGAAGCACTAGGAGATTTGCATTATACAATAGCCTACCTGCAAGAAATGGCAAGTGTTTCGTAGCAACACTTGCAAACAACATCGGGAGGTTCCTCATACTTACATTAGCCCCTCCTATGAGCAACAATGGGGATTTGTGCTGCACACAATAATGCACCTGCAGGAGCGGCAAATGGCTCGTATCAACACTTGTAAATAATAATAGTTGATTCATCATGTATACAACAACTTGCACATAAATTAAAGCAACAAATTTGTGGCGAATATGATTGGCCCATAAGTAGGGAGTGTAGGCTTGAAATGTGCACAGTAGTCTATCAGTAGGCGACAAAGAACAACAAGTTGTGGATGCTAGATCATCCACACATGCCAATGATAAGCAACTATCTAGCAAATGCCCTAACCCCCAACAAGCAACGGCAGTCAATACATAACAAATGCAAATGCCTACGAGTAACACTAGAAGATTTGTATTATGTGCAACTTGTCTGCAGATGACAATGGAAGGCCCGCAATACATACAACGGTCCTTCCTACAAACAACGATAGTTAATGTATTTCAAGTATGGTGGACTCTCTACAGGCATGAGTAAGAAGATTGTAGCGAGTGTAGGAGAAAAGGATGAGCCTGTAATAAATACAGGCACCTACAAGCCACTATGGGAAATTCGTCGTGAACACAACATTTTGTATACGATGGTTGGTGGCCTTTGTATATTCACTGGTGATTTATAGACATATTCAACAAAGCTTGTAGTGCAATAATGACTTGCATCTAAGAAGTCACAAATGATCTGTAGCACAATGTTATGACCCACTTGTGAGAGCTCGTTCCTTTGATTTTTCCTTTCTGGATCTGATTTTCCTCCCAGGATCGTCCGGGACGATATTGAGATCGTCCAGGACGATCAGTGCAGTGAATACAGCTGATTTTCTGGAGTGGATCGTCCAGGCCGATTTTGGATCGTCCTGGGACGATCAGAGCATGGCTCAAGTCAGAGAGCAAAATCGAAATTATCGGCCTGAGGAATCGTCCTGGACGAT